GCAGGCTTGAGGGCTCTAAATAATTTGGAGGGGCGTCCCTCCTGTTGTATTTTTTTCATGCATTAAAAAGCCTTGCACAAAACGTAATTCAGCGTCAAAACCTGATTGTTTTGTACAAGCATTCAGAAAAATGTGTTGATTTATTTTGAATAAATTTATAAAAACAGTTTTTATCAAGTGCTGTTACAAATACATATAGTTGTAATGTTACATGGTTATTTTTCTGTGCAAGCTTTTCAAACAAGGCTGACATATGAGCATATTCTGGCTATAATTTTCATTAGAATAATTTTGAGCAGGTTTTTTTATGCGCACATAATTTGCACTAGGGTCATTGAATTTAACTCCAGGAGAGTATTGCACAGTCATTTTGACTGCAATGTGTTTTGTAAATGGTATTGGGTGTTCCAAGTGCCGTGTAGCGTAGCAAAGATTTTCCATGTGCCCAAATGTGACTGCTGGCAGGGGTAGGTTTTGCTGAAGTGCAGAGGCTTTGAGAGCTATGGGATGATGGTGCTGCAAAGCACCATTCATGTGACTCTGGATGAATGCAGTATCCTTGTCTGACAGTGCTGAATATGGAAAGTTCTTTGTTTCTTGATACGTTTGACATTCAGAATCTGTGTGTGACAGTAAGCCAGACTGAAGAGTTAGAATAAATTTTACATCTTGCACAAGATAATTGAATAATAAACTGTGGAGATGAAAAAAACCCACACAGATCATCTAGTATGTTTCTGCCAGTTTGAAATTTATCCTCCTTTCATTAGTATTTTTCCAGTCCAGTTTAAAATGTACACTTGGTGAGATTTCAGTCACATCTCTGAGGAAGCAGCTTCCCCTCCACCCCAAATAGTCAGCATCATTTTCTGTTTAGTTTTATCCTATAGATTTGAGATACATCCCACACTTTGTCCAGGCTCTTCCCTAGATCGTCTGTCATTGCTTCCCCAAACTAACCATGTGTTTCCCTGTGTCATGGGTTCTAATTCTGCTCATGTTTTGCACCTCATTGAGTATTTTCTGGCTTCTTGTGGTGTCCTCGGGAAGAGCCCGGCCTTTCTCAGCAGACAGCCCTTCCTTCTGGAATCCTCACTTCCATACAACCATGTGCTCACAAAGCCAGTCTTTGTGTCTGCTTGGGGAATGGTGCAAGGCCCATCTGTTAGTCCAGGCTGATAGGAAAAAAGCTGCCTTAGAGGATGGCTTGTGGGTTGCTTGTTTTTTCCAGAGGTTTCAATGTCCGTGTTTGACCAGTGAATCTCCAGAAGCAATCTGAGAGGTCATTTCCTCCTGGGAACAATTATCTGCTGTGCTTTTATGATTATTCTCACCTTGAATCCAATATTTCATCTGCTGGTTTCTCACACAAATGCATTTCAAAGCAAGTTCCATCATCATTTATTTTTAAACATACTGATAAAACCCGTTTCTCTACATCTTTCAGATCAGAGAGGGTTTTGTTTTTTTTCAGATTTTCTTGCTATTCCTGTAGAAAATTTCATTTAATTGTTAATTTTTGCAAGTATTAAGTCATCACCAATTTAAGTAATTTTACAAATAACTAGCATTTTTCTTCCAAATGTAATTTTTTTTGTTCAGAAGATTCTCAATAAATATCCTTTCTTATATCACCCACACAGTTTTTCTGGTTTGTTTCTAGTCTGTTCTTGCCAGATGTTTCTTCTCAAGCTTTTGTGATAATGAAATGGAGCCACTGTACCCATGATATTTAAAAAAAAAAAAGTTAAAAAATATTTCAAAAGCAGTGGTGTATTTTTCGCTAAGTACAATTAGTTTGGCATTGCATTCATATTTTCCCATCTGTGTTTCAAACTTTTGATGTGTCTTAATTTAAGAACATATTGCCTCCAAAGTTTTATCATACCTGAAACTTTGGAAGTAGTAATTGTTTTTTAGTGCTTAAGTTATAGGTGGTACCTGGAACTGAAGTGTTAACAAGACATGAATACTGGTGAATTTTAAAATTATGCTACAAATATGCTGTCTTAAACTCAGTTCATTCCACTGTATCCTGCTTTACCAGGTACATGTCCTGGGTAGGCCCAGAGAGATTGCAATTTTATGCAAAATAGTTCAGCTTCAGAAGCAGAGTGCAAGTTAGGTCTGGTGATGATTTAATACTGTACATGGCTTTCTATTCTTCCTTGCTTTGGTCCCACCCCAGTTATCTGTCAGACATTCAGCAGAAGTGGTCAAGCCTCTTGTGTCAGAAGGGATTTGGGCCTTCTGTGTCCCAGAAGACTTCTAAACCATTTGGTGAGGACAATCATCTTTTATTTATTGGGTCTGGATTCAGCACAGAATATTAGAGAAACTTAGTAATTCCACATCTACCACAATTCAGTATTTTCTGTCAATTTATTGCACAAAATAGATGTCTTGTCCATTTCTGTGGCTGACAGCAGAACTCTCCTGCTATATTATATAAAGCAAGAAAAAATTAGAAGTCATTGCTTTTTGAACTCTGTTGCTGGTTTTGATTCTCCCTGAACCCACTGAAAAAGCTGTGTAACCAAAGTTCCAGGCTGCTGCCCCTCAGCAGGCAGGCTTTAGGACTTGTCCTTAGGGGATCTCTGCCTTTCTCCATGTACAGGCCAGGCATCTGTAACTACCACATGTTGAATTCTACTCCAAAGACTCACGAGTTAGGTATTTTAGCTTCTAACTTTTGGCTGTCTGTAGGAGAGCTGGTCCCTGCTTACTCCTCTTAGATACATGTTCTTTCCCTTGGTCTCTACTGAGCCTCTTTGGAGATAAAACTATTTCTTGCCTGCATGAATCGAAAATGGCAGTTCTGTCTTTTTAAGTGGTCTCAAGGTCAGAACTTGCTGTTTCTGCACTTGCTTCCCTGTGTTGACATTTATTAAGGATTGTGAAAGAAATAAGTGAAATGTTGCAGTGTCCTAAATAGGTCATTACCCTGTTCATAAAGAGTAAAGCTACTCTTTAATTGTCTTGTAATAATTAACTTTATCTTGTAATATTGTATTTGAGTCTTTATGTTAATTTCTTAAGCCAAGAACATTTGTGAAACTTAGTGTCCAGTCTGATGTTCAATGTCTTGAGTCAGCCTTTAGCAAGGAGTTTTACAATGCTGACCTTGTGTTACTTGCAGAGCTCTTGGTGCTAGTTAGAAAAGAAAATGTAGAATTTGTTGAAGAATTGCTGGAGCATTTGTGACATTATGTAGGATGATTACATCCTACATAAAACTGAGATGGATTTCCAAACTGTGCAGGCTTTTTCTGTGGTCATAAGGAACTTCAAGAACCCTCCTGCTATTCCTTCACTGGTGATTTCTGAATGTGAGACCAGCTGCAAGTGTGCAGTGCAGAAGTGATTTGCCAGTATTGATGCACCTGGGTGCAGTTATTACAGCAGATTCCTCCAAAATGAATATGGGCTTTGTTGAATGAAGAATGGAGAAAAATGTACTCTCATGAATATTTTAAGAATCAAAAACCTGACAAGTTTAAGGTTTTACCCAATCCAGTGATACGTCCAAAGTAATTAATGAACTAGAATCTGTGCCATTTGCCGTATACTGAGTTCAATTTTTTTTAATTTTGTCAATGCTAAAATTTGATAAACCATGTAATTTATAGATAGATCTGAATAAAGTAAATGGAATTTGTCTTTGTGACTGTGTGTAGATGAGCATTCCTTAAACAAACTCCAAAGACTTTTCAGAATTTTGGCATCCAAACTGTTGTTGTCTCATGCCATATGAAAGAAAGTGCAGGCTGTTAAAAAAAAGTAGTTCATTTTGGGTACCATATTTTTTTCTATTCTCCATAGGTAGGTGTAATTTTTTTCTGTTATATTATTCCTGCCTCCTACAAGCACTGTCACAAATTTGAAAACCAAGTGTACTTCCAGCAAAAGAGTGGGGTTATTACTGAATTAGAATTATTTTTTTATTGATACTGGTAACAACTTGCCTATGCTTTTTGCAGCAATGTGCTTCCTTGAACATTTGAACTGACACTTTCTTTCCTGAAATACATTATTCTTGAGAAATTCCTTACTGTCCTATTATAATTACTCAGAAGTAGATCATGGTTGGCTGGTTTTTTGAAAATTAAACCTGTGGCCAGATACCATTTTGTCACAGAATATAACCTCATTGCCCTGAATTGTCTGTGGTATCTATTGCAAAGGTCAGGGAAAAATTTTCTTTTCTGCCTTTACTTCTTTCTTTCCCTGGTATCTGTGAGGAGATAATGGAATCACTACAGTGTCTCTTCCTACCTGAGTCAGAATGGGCTAGCTGTTTTCAGTGGTGACACCCCATGAGTTCACTTCAGTAGTACCACAGCCATTACTGGAGGAAGAAAGGGAAAAAGTATGCTGGTACATTGCTATTTTGGTAAAATAATCAATGGTTCTGTCAGGACATTCTATGTGTGTTTGTAGGCAAATTTCTCTCAACTCAGACCCTGCTCTTTTTAAGCACACAATCTTCCAGCCTTTTCTTCCCACCCTTCAAATTCCTCTTTATCTGGAGTAGAGTGAAACATCCATGTGTTCAAAATGTGATATGATCTGGCACAGGAATATCCAACATTAAGTGAGAAAGTTCAAAAGGCCATCTTCAGGGATATAGGAAAGAAAATCCTAGTCCTTCCTGATTGTCAGGCAGGGATTTGGAAAATGCTCAGCTCATGCCTATTATTCCTGTTCCTCTGTTCAAAACTCCAGGATAACTTTTGATATGAAGGATGAAGGGTTTAGCCTTTGTCTACCACTGTTGATGCTGAAAATGTAATGGCAAGATATGTGTACATTCCTGGGTTTTCTAGCTGCAGAGCTATGTGGAAGTGAACAATGAGCAAGTAAGAGTGACTTTCCAGAGAAAAATGGGAATTATGCCAAATGGAAAAAAAAAAACCCAAAAAACAAACAAAACAATAAATTGGCCACTGCTATTCATGTCACCAAAAATCACTAACATTACTTGTGTCTCTTGTCCGTAGATCACCTCCCTTGTGACGCTGCAGCTGCTGTCTGTGGTTGGCCAGAATGACCAGCTTGATGGACCACGATACAAATGTACTGTATCTCTGGACTTCATCAGAGCTATTGCCCGGTGAGCCTGTTAAGAGTTCATTTATTATTGCATGTGCTGACTTGAAAGAGACTTCAAACTAAGTGTTTGCTCAGTCTATAGCTCTTTGCAGACCAGAATAGAAAACCTGTGGATATTTTCTAAGAATGACTGAATAAGTTGTGTTATTGATGAGAAATGTTGTATGCAAGGTAAGTATAGTCCATTCCTGTTTTGAAAATGATTTATGTTACAGTGGCAGTATGCGTTACAGTAACATACTGTCTTTGTGCTTAGTAAAGGTCAGGGACTTCATGTGAAAATACTGCTCTAAAATGTCAGTCCATTTCATTACCAAAAAGCACATTATGGTATTTGAATCTGAAATCATATTTGGTTCTTAACAGTGTTGTGTGTATGATATAAAAACTACACAGGTTATAGGAATTCTTGCATGTAGACTGTCTTGTGTGATCTGTTATTAATACAAGCTAATTTAGTAAATGGATATAAGAACATCAGAATGTTTGTTTATCCAGAGCCTTCAGTTGTGAAGTTTGAGAACAGTTTGAGATCCATCAGGAGAGATGGCAATAATTTGCAGACAGAAATACATGCAATACAAGGGTAACAATCAGGCCTATGTGTCCTATTTTACCTGTTGCTGCCACCTTATTAGCAAGTCTTGGATAAACAGTCTGTAATCAGAACAGAGCCCAGGAATGACATGTGTCAAAAGGGAGAAATGTTCTCACAGCCAACTCTTCTTTGTAATGTGGGACTAAAGAAGAACCTGAGGTGTAGGCTGTATTCCATATCCTCAGGGCACATGAGCTATTTAATGTCCAGTAGCCTTGTCAGTAAATGCAACAGATATATATACTTCAGTTTTCAGTTGGACAGGCTGTAGAATGAAACTTTGACTGGCTGAGGTCTGGCTGGACCACACTGCCAGGACCTCCACAGCTTTGCTATGTCAGTTTGCTATTCCCAGCATTAAAGTCACTTTGTGAGTGATGCCCTGAAAAAGCTCCCCCTGGAACCAAGCACAGCAGACCATCTGCTCAGCAACATGGATCACTGTGTATACTGTTATACATTGGGATATATCCTTGAATTGGGATAGTTGACAGCCCTTTCCTTGCAACTTTGACATCCTTAGACGTTTCAATGACTGCATTAAAGTTGCTGGAAAGTAGAGACAGCCAGAAAACAGGACCAAAACCAGTGCCATGCAGCTCTTGCTTACTGGAGAAAGTATTTGTAGTACCAGAGACACTGTCACTTCAAGCCTCAGTGCACGGTAGTTTTTTAGCTTGCTTTCCTTTAGGTCTGATGTGTGTGTGTGTGTATGTGTGTATATATATGTATGTATATAAACTGACTTTTCCTAAATGTTATGAGGAAGAAAGCAATTCTTTTTTTCTCCAAAAGTACTTTGGAGGTCTTTATTTGATATCTAGATAGGACTATTTAAATCAGATTGATTGATTGATTGATATTAAACTTGGCCTGTTCTGCTTTTCTCCTGTTTCTCCCTTTTTTAAAATCTTGCTTTGTTCCTTTGTTACACTTTTTATTAAAACCACTTTTCAGACCGCAGGATTTATTAAATGTTAAAGAGGATGACCTGTAAAAGAAACAAGGTTTCATGAACTCATTAGAATGAGCTTCTGTCTTCTCTGGGTGGGGCTACTAGCTATAGGATGAAGGCCTGATCTTCCATGCTTTAAGAAATTTCGTTTCCTGTGTGTGCGATAGTTTTGGTTGTATTTGTCACAGAGAGGGAACTACTATGAAATTTCAGCCAAAATACATACCAAGTAAGCAGCCCATCTTCTTATTCTTCTTTCTCTATTACTGCAATGGTACTAAAATAAGTTTGTTACTCACTAAAATCATCAGATATGTTGGCCTGGTTACCATCTCAGCCTTTTTGCTCCAGCATATTTCCTAACTGAAGGCTGAGGAGTGCAAAGAATGGGACAGAAAAGGATGCTCCCTCCCTGCCCCCATTCAAGCTGTTCAGATTGTCATTTCATTTTCTGTGTTTTTTAAGCAAAAGTGAACTTTGCACTAAAAGAAAAAAAAAGCCACCTGTTTCTGGAAAAGAGTAAAAAATTTGTGTCTCCTTCTGGTGGCTTTTAATGTGGTAACTGCTGAAGTGCATGGTCTCTTTTTTACCATGGAACCTCACATCTGGCTCTATTCTGTGATTCTGTGGCAAGTACTGTCTTTGTAGAAACATCTCTGTGTTTTACCACATAGTTGTAAACATTTGGCTGAAGGTAAAGTCAGATGTTTCTTTGTTAGAAATAATTTTCTGTTTTAAGAATTTCAAACCTAAGTTCATTAATTTTCTCTAGCTGATGTAGGGCTTTCTTAGTGTTTATTGAATAGAATGGATCTTTTCAAAAAGTCTGTAATAAACCCAGTTGTTATGACAAGACAATTCTGTTTCATTTAGTTGATAAGGTCAACATTTGTTAGTGTATGATTTTGTTATTGTGGAAAACCTTGTAATTAAAGCTCTTTTTTTGAGTGACACAATGTCATGTAAGTTTAACAGTGGCAGTTAATGTCTTTAAATTTGTCACTGGACTAATAAATAGACTCCAACAGAGTATTTCCTCTAACGTATCTTAGAGATTTCTAAACTTTTCTCTGTCAAAAATGATGTTTTATAAAAACTTTTTTAAAAGTGGGTTACAGGCTGATGCATGAACAGAGAATATTAAATGATTGTAGTCCAACAATAAGAATTCAGCTAGCTAATCTCACTTAGTATTGTTAGCAGTTATTTTTGCATCATTGAATACTTTTTTTTAAAAACCCTTTTAATTTTATACTTGTCATTATATGCAGCAATTTGCATTATTTATTCAAACAGTAAACCCTAAAGTCTGAGTGTTGGATTGTATAGATGAATGAGTTTAGAGACAAAAAAAATAATTATATGCTTTATTCTACTGCTGTTTCATTTTGCCTGCCATTAAAGTACAAAAGTGTACATTAAAATCTTCTATCCCATTGATTGGCATTCTTGGATTTTTCAAATTTAGCTATGAACATGGGTCAACTACTGTCAAGACTGAAAGAACACAGGCTCCAAATGAGTGCAGATGAAGGAGTACATGCTAAAACAGGTGGATTGGGAGATGAACAAAACATTCAGTAGCATAAAAGGTTGTTGTTTTGCATCACCAACTAGAACATCAAGTTTGCCATACGAAAATATAATTTTATTAATACTTTTTTTCATTATTTAAATAAGAGTCTTCCTGATTTTACTAGGAAGTTGCTATACTTCTTTTCTAGAATTTTGCAAAGTTGAAATAATCAGAAGAGGGGTATTGTAAATAACGAGAGAAATTAAAAATTCATTAATCCTTGCTTGCATTTCTTTTGGGGAATTGCTTGATTTTGATTGTGCAGAATGTCCTGCATGTGCTGTCTCCAAACAGGTTAAAGTCTTAGCACTGTTAAGATGATTGCTCTAATATACTGTGTTTTTGTTTATAGGACCGTGAACTTCGACATAATAAAGTACTTGTACGATTTCTTGTGAAAACAAGCTTCACAGCCATATGGACACTGTGACAATGACTAAGGCAAGCTGTGTTCATCTCTTTACTTGGCTGGCCAGAAAGAAGAGTATTTTGGCTCTTTTGGATTTGTCCAAACAGGTGCTGGCCCAGCATGGAACCTGATGAAAATACTCTGATTGGTCTGGGTGGATCTGAGCAGAGGACTATTTACCAGGGACCCTGGAGTATTTGGAAGCAATGTGTTAATTATAAACAGCAGGGTTTGAGCACAATCTGTTCTAGTCTTAATGATGTTATCTTAACACTGAAATTGCCTGAAACCCATTTACTTAGGACTGCATTTTGCTCTATGAACTCTCCCCAGTGCTTTGAACATGGCAGCAGCCGTTGTTTGTATGCCCAGTCTTTTCACTTCCTCTCCACAGGAATCTTTGCAGTTGCCTGCCAAAGCAGCTTTTCCCGAGGCCACCATTTTAGGAGAGTGGAATAGCAAAGTATAATAAACATAAGAACATATTTTAAAATCCAGCTGGTACAAATTCTTCTTTCTGTTCAGTAGTATGTAGGCAGACTGTTACCCTGTTATATGGAGATCACGATGGTAGGAAACTCCCAATTAGTCACCATATTGTCTTTTTCAGACCATTCATAAATATTGACTGCGAATGTATTTTTACGAACCTCTGTTTAAAAAAAATAATTGATTCTTAAACTTCTATCCCTATGTCAAACTTGAAATGTTTTATTTTTGCTTCAAAATTCTATAGTTCTTTCATGCTCATCCAGTTACAGGAAGTGATAATTATAGTGCCTTGTGGAATGGACCTACTTTTAACATGCACACAACGTAATGGCTTTTGCAACACCTCTGTCCTGCAGAGGAGGATGGCACAGCTGTCTTTTTATCAGGAAGGGAGAAATTCAACAGGTGACAGAGTCTTTCTGCAGCAATTCCCAAAAGTAGTGGAACAGTGAATAACCGATGTGGTATTGTAACATAAAACTTTGTCCTTGGAAATACCTGATGGAATACACTACAATTGCAGATTACAAATAGGAGATACGCAATTTATGGAGCATGAAAATCCCCTAGTCCAGTTGGAGGTAATTGTATTCATGAATCTGAAGATATCAGTAACCCTCTTGAAAACTCCAGGTCCCACAGCCTGTTACTTGGATGTTTTACTCTTCAGTGCTCACCTTTGACTGTTTGAGAGTAAAAGACCATGCCACATTCTAAGTTGAACATTATGGGCTTTTTTTCAGGGAAAAATCATGAGTCTTCCCCCCTTGCTCTTATATTAGAAATTATCAAATACTCTGAACATGTGTTCTTGTGTTCTGTTTATTCTTCTTTATTTTTTTTCTTTTTTATTTCTTTCTTAGTTTTTGTTTTCTACTTTTGTTGTTTTTTTTTTTTTTTCCCCAATTGTGGATCTGTAGCCATACTTCTGGATTCAGACCCAAGTGACAAAAGCATCCTTCTGGCCAAGCTCTGGCTTCCTCCCTCCCTCAGGGGAGTGTGAAAGGGCAGCAATGAGTCATCTCCGTGATGTGTTTTCCTTCCTACCGCTGAGCTGGATCAAACCCTGCACCTGTCCATGAGGTGGCAACATTTGTCACACTTACTGAAGTGCTTGCATGTAAATATATAGCCTGTTTCAAAATGTTTAATACCTGCTTTTGGTTTTACTTATAAAAATGTCCATAAAGTGAACTTTGGGCTAAATTTTACAGTGCCTTTCTATCTTAGGGCTAGTGCTGGGCTGAGCTAGGCTCTTGTGGATCTCCTGTATGACTACCTGGGGCTGCATTTTGTAGTGGAAAGAAGTTTTGAGGTATTTATTTGTCAGCTAGTCCCTTTAAAAGAGTAGCAGTAGTAATTTCTGATCTGGATTAGAATTTGATATATGAAACATGATGGGGCTGATACTGATTTGTTAAGGGCTACAAAACTTGAGTCACAAAATTTCATTTTCAGTGACCCCAGTCATTCCCACCAAATAGACCAGACCCTCAAAACACTTCAGCTCCAAAGTTGGAGCACAAATTAGATATAAAATAAAGGTCCTAGAAATTAAGCAGTGAGAAAACTTGGTGCTGCTGATATTTTTTTCAGTCTAATTTCTTCTATATTAGCCTTATGAGTACTGGTGATTATTTCCAGTGTAATCCAAAGGATAAGGAAACTAATTTTTGTGGAATGTAGTTAATTTGACTGAAATGAGGTTAACTAGAGAAGGAGTAGTAACTGAGGATTCATTAGACACAGCCACTCTCCTTACTTTGAAGGCACTTTTTTGACCTTTGTGAAAGACTCCTATCAGTGAAATAAAAGTTAAAGCTGAATCAGCAGAGTATGAGAATGAACAAGGTGACTGAAGTGCAAATGATTGATGTAGGCTATAACTAGGCTGATGATGAATAGTAGGATTTATTCTGACAAACTAGAAATATTTCTATATAGCCATGTCAATGAGTTTATAAATTACTGCTGAGTTTCTTACTAGATACCTTAGCAATATTCTGTTCTAAGACCCCGTTTTCATGGATGAGGCTTCTTTTAGCCTCCCCTGGGCCAGGATTTCACCTCTTCTACAGGTGGTTTTGAGAACTGTACAAACAATGTAGATCAAGATAGTTTAACTAATCAGAAAACCTTCAGTACCTTAGTGCTGCAGTATGTATTTGAAAAATAGCCGATTTTTTTCATAATTCCTGAGTCACAAAGCATTAGAATACTGAAAAAAATTACAGACTTACAGTGCTTTTCTCCAGTGGCTGATCCAAACATTAACAGGGGCTGGAGCTTGTTCTTACAAGGATAAAGCAATGGAAAAAGAAATGCAGCTATCATACCGCAGTTGCAAAGAGATTAGTACCCTTGAATAGCTCTGGCTTCATCAACAGGTGCATTTTCATGCACATAACATGGAGATTTTATTTGTTAAGAAGGCTTGCAAGGCTGCATCAGCATGTAATGAATTAGTTGATTCATTCTTTTTGGACAGTGATTTGTCTTACTTTGGTTATCTCAGAACCTGCTGCTTCTACTGTAACAGTTCCTGTAGATATTGACACTTTTGGGATGAGATAAAGAAATACATTGTTTATTTCAGTTCCTTCTGAGTTCTGATGCTTCTGTACACTGTGTAAAAACACATTCATTCTTGCCATTGGTAACATTTTTCCAGTATCCACCAAGTATTATTTGGACAAGGCCCATCAGGTACTATGTTTTCTTCTCATAACTGGAACAGCCAGCCATGCCAGGAGAAGAGTGTGAAGGACAGGATTTCCAGCAGGAATATAGGTGATATGACATGTCTGTGACCCATGGGCAAAATGTACCCAGTTAAGTATCTCAGGATTAGGTATTCCCTCTGCACTTGTACTGGCTGAGATGGCAGGAAGAGTGAGAAATGGCAGGTTCTTGAGGGCTGCCTGGAGGTTGGTGTACTGTGTGTTCTGGTCAGTCCAGACTGTTGGGGAACAGGAGATGTACTCCATTCAGAAGTAAATCCTACCAGAGGTGAAGTAACTTCTCCAGTTTTCTGAATGACAGAATGGCATAACTTAGAAAAGAACCTCATAATGGCTGGTAAATATGCATTGGGATAAAGATACAGCTTGATTAGCAAGTCTAATCATAGACAATACAAGATTTTTATGTGTTTGTAGATACTGGAATGGCTTCACTAGAAAATTGAATGGGAGATTAATAGCAAAACAGTGTGTTTTTTATCTCAGCTTCATTGTGGGATCTTTTGCTATGAACAAGCGGATTCAGATGAATTGTACAATACTCAGATAAGGGTAACTTTTTGATACTTTATCTTTGTGCATGTTTATTAAAACCATTTAAAGAATAAATCTGAAAACAGTACAGAAATTGTGTATGCCAGAAAAATTGAAACTCCAGAAGTACAATTACAATGACCATATTTATGTTTTCCTGAAAACTTATGTCTTTAAAAAGCCACAGCTCAGTGGCAGTGTCTATGCAAAACAACAAACAGAAAAATACCATACTGCTTGTTATTGGACATGAGCAGTATATCATCCATGTATTTGAATAGCCAAGTATTCACCCAGGTGTCTGATATCAAGGAGCTCAGAAGGATGGTATTAAAGTAGGACCAACACTGGGCAGTCAAGCAGCTCGTGGATGGAGGTGTTTCCATGCTGTTGAACAAGTGAATGTCTGACTGTAAGCAGGGAGTCTTGGAGTGGGAACATGATGTCCAAAGTATCACCAGTAGACTTAATGTTTGAAGTGTTGTACTTAGTACTTAGAGCCTCTCCTCCTCTGCCAGTGAGCAATACCCCATTTTTCCAAAGCAGAAGTAATATCCCTAACTCTTCTTTCATTTGGTTCAAACTACATTTGGTAATAAATCATTTCCACTGGTCTGTTGCAGTTGCCAAAAAGGATTTTTTATACAGCTCTTCCAAGGGAATTACCACCAACAGGCAGCAAAGTACTAAAAGAAAATACCCTCCTGTTTGGGTAGGCAGCTGGACAGCTCCAGTAGGGAAACAGGCTGGGCTTTCCTTTGAGATGAAGTTGTGATGAACTTGCCCTTTTGACAGCTTTGATGTTTTGAAGTATCTAGAGCTCTGCCAGACTTCTGTATTGCTCTGTTTCTTCCTGTACCCTCCCACTGCAATTGTGTGATATTTTTTGGAATGGTTCTTGCAGAGATCTGCACCAGAAGCACAGCGGACTTCTGGGCTTGACGTCCCACAGGGGATGCTGCTGTGGGCTGTCTGTGCCCCTGTGGTGCAGGTGTGCATTATTCAATTAACCTGTTGACTCATACTGCCTTCTGTCCTGACAAGACTTGTTTGGGTATTTGGAGAGGTATCTGTTATGTACTTGAGGGCAGGTGTTTGGCTTCAGCAAGGTCATTTTCCAAAACCTTCCTGCAATATTTTGAACTATTAGCGCTGTACTGGTGTTCGTATTTCATATTTGTTCCATTTTGATGAAATGCTGATGAAAAGCCCATGTCAAGTCTCAGACTGATGTATTAAATGTGCTTTTTCTTAAGCAGCACAGTAAAGGTGCAGCTTTGCCTAAATTCATTCAGCACATATGTTCCATTTTCCTGGCAGACAGATTTTCTAGAGAACAGGATTTCTAATATGCAAATACTTTCTTGTCTTTATTTGATTCTTGTTCAGGGAAATACGTGCTGAACATTATTTCATGTACCTTCTTCAGATAGTTGAGTTCAGAGGAATGAAAGAGGGCTGGGAGGGCTGGGAAATTGAGCTTTGCTAACAGGCTTTCTTGGAGCCTGTACATTGGAATATTCAGCCTATACATTCAGCAGCTGAGCACTTCCTGTGTCTTCATGTAGGTAATGAGGGTTTTCACATAGGCACCTCCTAAATCCAAGTCAGAGAATAGTTGTGAAAAGAGAATAGCCAAGAGTGACATAAGTAACCTCTCATTAGAACAACCTTGCCAGATGAGGGAGCATGTTTCTACAAAATCCAGCAAAAGAGTCATCATCTCTCCACCTGAGAGATGGTGATGGAGAACAAAGTTGTTTACCACTCTGTTGGCAAAAGGCTTGATTATATTCTCACTGTTTGCATCATTTCTCTTTGGTTGAAGAGTTTGTACATTATTTATGACGGTGCTGTTTCTCCCTCTACCCTGTTTCCATCAGTACAATTCCAGCTGTGGTTTTTTTTTCCTCTGCCATTGCACCCAGTGCACTGAGAGTTCCCACCTGGGCCAGCAGTTTGTGTGGGGAAGTGAGTACCCTGCTCTGTGATGCCACCCTGGAGGCCAGCCCTGGTGTTGCCATCCTAAAGCAACTCAACATCTCAGGCTTGGGATTGCAACTGCAGAGAGTGGTTGTTTTGTCTTGCCGGGTATAGGAACTTCAGCAACACCCCTGAAAGACGTGATGTGAATAAGCAAAAACATCTACAAGGGAGGCAAATTATGTTATTCGTGTGCAATTACAGCAGTTCCTGAATTCCAGCTGCATGGCTGAATGAATACCCATCCCATTTCCTCACATTTACATTTTTATGCTGTTTTTGATTATTTCTTAAGGATGTAAATCATTAGGCAACAGCAAATAACTGGGAGTTCTGCTCAAACTTTCTGAGAACAGTGTCATGTTGAGGTTTGGGAATTTCAGAGAAAATGAGGAGAGCAACCAAAGACAAGTACACGATTTCTCCAGTGATGTAAACAAACCTGTAGCTCCTGCCTCCCAGGGAGGGGAGCTTCCTCTCTGTCAGCACAGGCTCTTTCACTTGACTGAGCCTGGAGCTGGGGCATGTGCAGGAACCTTAAGTAACTTCTGCAATGCTACTCTTCACTTCAAGCAAGATAGAACATGTCTGGAGCTATCAGTAAAGAGATGTGTTTATGTATCCTGAGTGTTTTGCTTCTCAGTGGCTTAGAGTCCTTTACAAAAATCTTATCTAATGTCCAGAGTGTCAGAGGGGTCTCTTTGATTGATTATAGGAAAAGCAAATATGATGGTTGTGCAAATAATTAGAGTTACTTTCTGCAAAATAATTTGTCCTCAGCAATGCCTCTGTTGTTCACCATCCAGTTTATTCTTTTAAAGTAAGACCGCTGAAGAGACTGAAGCTGATCCCTCTGATCCATTTGGGATGTCTTTGCAGAAATAAGTAATCTCATTCCAAAAACGTGGGGAAGCAGGGGATTAGACTGGAAATTCAAACTGCTCTGTATTGCTAGCCCTCATACTATAGGAGTCAGAAGTCCTGATTTCAGAATGCTACATAAATATGTGTCTGGTTTATATTTTCCTCAGATGGTACAACTTCATCAATTTTTGGTATGGAAGACAATTAGATACGTGATATGGGGCAGCTGTTTTCCATCAGTAACTAAAGAGGGGCTCATCCATCAGGAAAGACAGCGCTGTCTTTGCATGTTCACAGCTGAAGGGACCATAGTGGAGGAAGTCAGGTGCTATTAACTTCCTGGGGAAGTGAGGATGGTGAAAGAGCACAAGTAAGATCAGGAATATCAAATTATATTCTCAGTAAGATATGGATCACCAAAAGTTTCTGATGCTCCAAGGTCTGTGACTATGGGCTGCCTTTAGAGTAGTAGGATTCTCTTTGGGGGTGTCATCTTTGATGTTCCACAAACTACTGAACCAGTCAGAGGAGAGAAAGGGAGGACACCTTTTCCTGCCTTTGTGCCAAGCTGCTGCTGTCGTGCTTTTCAGCTGAGAAGGACTCAAAAGTTTGGAGCACCTGGGAACATGTGTTTGGACACAGAGGTCTAGAATGGTTAAATGGATCACTGTGTGGAACAGGTCTACTCTTCAGCTTGTTTAAATCACAGAAGAGAACCAGTCTCAACAGGGATTGGGCTAATCCTTTTTCCTGTTTGTGTCAAACGGTCCTCGCTCATTAAAAACTGAAATTTCTTTTTGGTTGAAACGAGTAAGTCAGCATGGGCTGCTTACTCAGTTCCAACTCTGACTGCTGAGAAAGTCATTCTTTTATTTTTAGCAGGTTAAGAAACATCATTTATGCTAACATTTCTTTCTTTTGAATTCTTTTCCACAGATACCTTCTAGAAATCTTTGGATGTTCGATATGTTACTATAGATATATAGTAAAATTTTGACAGCTTTCTTACTGCTCAAAACCTGAGGTTCCCTACAGAGATCTTTTCTTCACTGTAGCCTTATTGCCAAGTTGTCAGAGCATTAATTAAACTAGAAGAATAAGGCATTGCATGTAATTTCCTATACTGGATGCCTTCATGTCAGGGACATATCTCCATGGTAAGAACCTGTATATAAACAAAAAATAAGCCTGGCAATAGTACAAAAGCTCATACAGGCTTTTAAGTGAGAAACATGGCAAAAGAAAATAGAGAGTTTAAAGCAATTATTTCTTGGGAAAATGAAAACTACTGAATACTGCAGTCATTAAGAACAAATGTGATGATTTTGTTTGGCTATTTGGAATATTCCAGTGCTACTTTTAATCTCCATATTTTAGGTACTGGCTTAAATCTAGAAAGTTTTCTTATTCTAAACCCCCTCTCATTTATTATAGGTAGACTTACCCTTCCTTAGTGGGATTATGGATTCTCTGTACAAGCACATAAAATTATGTATAGTAAAACTTTATCCTGTATAAACTGCTAATAATTTGCATACTTTTCATTTTGCTGCATGGATCAAAATGTCTTGATATACTATACATCACATCTCAGTTTGATATGCATTTACTCTGCCATTTAGAAGGCAAAAATACAGCACACATGTTGATGTTTTTCCTGCAATAAAATGAATAGATGCTCGAACTATAATTGCAATCCACTGTTTGCTAAACCTGCAGGCAGAGCCAAAGCAGCACAGAAAAAGGAGTATTTGTCATTTTTTTCCCTCACATTTTCAGGGCTGTGTGTTTTTGTGACTCTTCAAAAAACTAAGTTTGTTCATTTGCTGCCAAACTGAAAGAAAAAAATATTTTCAAGAGCTGAAAGGAGAAAATTGTGCTTTAGGGATTACAAGATGAAGGAGATAAAACTGTCTGGAGGATAAAACCGCTGTGGATACACAGGGTCTTCCCTTTCCTCTTGCCACGTACAGAGCAGTTCCTGAGGGGTTACATACAAGGACTCTCCGTGAAGGGGAACACTGCAGTTTGTGTTTGTACCTGGCTGTGCCACTGAGGCTTGGGGCAAGCAGAGGGACATCATCACTCACAGGCTTGGTTATGGGCCTGGCCAAGAGCACAGGAGTGTAAACTTCTGTGACACTGAAAAGGGACTTGAAAAGCACTGGTAGTGTCTTCTTTCTCAGCCAAACACAACAGCACTGGCAGTCTCTCAACATATTATTTGAAACGTTTTCAGATTTGAAAAGTCCTTGCTCATGTGAGGAAGCTCAGTTAGCTCCATGCACGTATTTCTGGGCTGGAGCTATGTGGCTGCTCTCCATACCAACCTTCACTTTTCCTCCAGGAGCTCCATGTCCAAGGTGGGCAGTGTGGCCAGAGGTCTGGTGTCTCTGGGGTGACTGTATTGTTGTAGACAGGTAGATGGAGTGGTTGTGCTGCTGGGAGCTACCTGTAGCAGCATATGTAGTATGTTCTCTTTTCTTGGTGTCTTCGTAGAATCACAGAATGTGCTGAGTTGGAAGGGGCCTGTCGGGATCCTTGAGTCCCACTTCCTGCACAGCCCTGCGCAGTCATGTCCTGTGCCTGAGAGCATTGTCCAAACAGTTCTTGAACTCTGTCAGGCTTGGACCTGTGACAACTTCCCTGGGGAGCCTGTTCAGTGCCCAACCACTCTCTTTGGTAAAAAACCTTTTCCTATTAGCCAGCCTAAATCTCCCCCAACACAACTTCAGGCCATTCCTGTGGGTCCTGTCACTGCTCACCACAGAGAGGAGATCAGTGTCTGCCCCTCCTCTTCCCCTCACAAGGAAGCTGTAACTGCAGTGAGGTCTCCCCTCAGTCTCCTCAAGTCTGAACCGGCCAAGTGACCTCAGCCACTCCTCATACAGCTTCCCCTTCTTGCCTGCCTGTCACTGGTGTTCAGGTGCGTGTGCAGCAGCACAGTGTGGGTGCCAGTCTCCAAGTTACTCTTCAGCAGAGCAGTGTCACCATTGTGCTACTTTGATCCTGGACAAACCTTTCCCAGTAAATCCTGTAAGACGCCTGGCTGGCTGTTTGCTGGGGAGTCAGTGTCCAAGGTGTTTTACATCTCAGGCAGCCTCTGAAGCTGTACTAGGGCCCAACAGTGATTCAAGCACACCCTGAGGGTTTGGGCCAGCCCTGCAGGGGTGGGTGAGACGTCTCCTTCAGCTTGAAGCAGTCACCCCTTCTGACACTCTGGCGTAGGCAGGAGCTCAATTTAGTCTTGGGCACTCCAGGCACAAGCAGAGAGAGTTTAAGTTGTACAGTGCTGGGCCATTCTCACAACCACCTCTGAAGTGTCAGAGTGATAGCATGAGCCTTCTGTGTAGAAGAGGCAGATTTTTTTTCAGCATAGCTTCTGTTTCCCTGTGTCTGCCAGCAGGATGCACAGGTGCTTGTGTTCCTCTGCACAGAGCTCGGCTCTGCCTAAGGTAAGGGACAGTGCTGAGTATGTCCCATGATTACTGCGAGGCTCTATGTCTTCCCTAGCTCCTTCTGTGCCATCCCCTCTGCTAAAATATCCCCAGCATTACTCAAGCACTTGGATTCCTCCTCTTCAAGAAACAGTCTTTAAAAATTATTCTTTAAATTTTCTGGTAAATAGAATTAATCCCCTAAGAGAGGAACACTTTAGGTTGCTTAGCTGTGAGTATCTTTTATTCATGAGCAGCATACACCACACATTCACCCCCTCACTCAAATCTCAAGCATTATTTCAGGCAGAAGAAAGCACATCTTTAGCATTGTAGGCTTTTGAACAATCTGAAAATGTGTCATGAAGTGGCAACACATCTCAGAGGCAATAACATGGTGAGACATTACAAGGCTTTATAGTTAGTGGGCATTTTAAAGCCCTAACTTGTAACCAATAGAACTTTGTTGTTAAATACTTTTATGTACACAGAACTTTTCTCCTTCTCCATGTATGTATCAAGTGAATCCTAAATGATAAAACTGCATCAGTGCTTTTTCTCATAAACTGCTTGGTTTTTAATTTACATAATTTTCTTAACATAATTTTCTCTAATACATCCAGTAATTCCCTTTCTTTTCTGGGTGTCCCAAAGAGAGGCATGCAAGAGTTCATAAATGTAGTGCAAACTTATAACTTGCTGTTTCCCCTCTCAGAATTATTTTTTTAAACACAGGTGAAGTATAAAGCCTGGGGAGTGCAAAGGCTGGTCTCTTCATTAATTTAACACTAGTCTTTGTGGAAAAATGAAGATGAAAAGTCTGTTGGAAAGCCTGCTGGTTCAGTCCAGGGTTTGGCTACTAAGCGTATTTGGTTATCAGGAGGATTAGTTCATTGTTGCTGAAATTTTAGCTTTGATCTCTCATTATAAGTTTTTTAAATTCTGAGGATTAATTGCATTTGAGGGGAAGATCCAAAGAATTTTTCTGACTCCAGTGGGTTTTGAAGGAGGCCACCTGAGGTAAATGATAGGAAATCCCACCTTTGCCTCTTGATCCCTGGAAATGGAATTGACCTTTTCACAGCTCAATTATGGATCAGTTTATCTAAATATATCTTAATGTTCGACCCCAATCTCCTATGTGTGCCCTGGTGCAGTTGGCCTGTGAATACCGTGGTCTCCTATCAACAAAAGGAGACAAGATATTTGCTCAGATGTTCAGAGTCAACAGCCCAGCAGAGATGGCCCCAGCTGAGGCTCTAACTGGGGCAGGTTGAAAAGCATGGAGCAGCTGCATGGAGCTGAGCAAAGCTTGTCACCTTTGGTACTAGGCTGCCAATCAATACTCCACATTTTGCATTTAGCAGTACTTCATGGCTGTATGGATTTTGAAGGTGGTGTGTCTGTCTCTTCCAGCAGTAGTTTCTTCATCAAGGATAAGGCAGCCTCCTGTGCCCAACAAATGCAGTTTTTACTTCTGCTGGGTAAGGAACACAAGGGCTCAAATGAGAGCTGTGCTACTAAATATGCAATGCCTGGGGCAATCCAGCTCGTGGGGGCACCCACAGATTCAGCACCCTGATCCTCATGGGCTGTGTGAGGCTGGAGAGCAAAGCCCCAGCTGAGCATCTCCAAGCCTTCCCCATTTCCCACAGTAAGAGGGCTCAGTCCCACAAGATTCAGTTAGTTATGTCTCCTTGTCAGTGTGTCTGGTTCTCTCTCTCCTCAGCCCTGTGCCCAGTACTGCTGTTTTCTTTGTGCTTGTTTTGAAGCTGATCTTATCCCAATGAGACCGTTAAATTAACTCAACCAAAACCTGGAATGGTTTTTGCCATGTCTCAGAGATGGGTGAGAAGGGTGTCCTTTGGTAGCCACAAGACATTAGGATCAGCTCAGCTGCCCAAAACCAAACCTTAAATACATATAGCCCCTCCTGTATGTGGATGTTCCTTGCCCTTGGCAAGTGGCATAGCTTGGATGCTTACAGACAGTGACTATAGATAGAGATTATGGTGTTCAAAAATACTATTTAAAATTATTTATCCCCTTAGTCTTCCAAAAGGGGGACTCTGTATTCATGTTTGGAGTATCTTCTTCAGGAGTTGTGGACAAGCTTATGCTGCCCACATGTTGTACATATGAGACTACTAAACAGACAACACTAAGGCTAATAAACCTGCCCTTTTCATGAACTTCAAATTCATTGGCGACATTTATTTTAAATCACACTCTAATCTTTCAGAGAACAGAGCTTCTGCTTAGGATGCTGCTCCAAGGAGAACCAGCCACCATACAAGGTGTCCTCTTGATTTATAGTTACAGCAGCCTGAATTTCATATAACATGATAATATCCTATAAAGTCTCAGAGCCCTACACTGAGTCCTGCACAGATAACTGGTTGTGCAGTACACAAAGACAGGATATGATAATAATGTCTTCAGCGTGAAACGATGCTATTTGGGATGCCATACTTCTTGGATGTGGGAGCCATAATCCTATTATCAGTCATCAACAATAAACGACACCATTGTAGATATCCATTTGCTGGAGGTGATAAAGAAGCAGCCTAGCCAGCATGCTGAGGTTTCACCTGCTATTTCCTTGCAGATTTCTGCCCATCTGCAGATTTATTTTTTTAATCACTGTAAGTAAGAGGACATTTACTTCATTTACTTTATTATTTCAAGCCACCAGTTGTATTTCAGCATTGATTTGGGGAATTCTGTTCCAGGCTTTGGGGCTGTGTGCCACGGCATTCTCCTGCAAGAGACTCTGCAGATGCAGAAGGCGAGATGGTTTGTGGATACGTTAGTGTGTGCACCTACGGAGATGGGTAACAAAGAATAGCAGTGAAATCTGCCATAAATTACCTGAGAGATCTCAAGAAAGGTAGACAGGTAACAGCCAAGTGACAGTGCCAAGCAAACAGATGAGTTTTCATCATTTTTGTGTCTAGCCCATCCTTTCCAGCTGTGGCATACTTTTTGATTACACTATGTTATTTTACAACTAGTATGAAATATTTAGGGCTTTAGATTTACATAGTCATAAGACACAACACTTAGCAGTACATCTTAGAATTCGAATACAGGAGCTGTATAATTACATACTTCCACAAAAATTTATTAGTGGAGAAAACAATTTTATTCTGGCACATTGTTGGAAATTATTTCTATAATGAAATCATAGGAAAAGATTCTTTAGTTAAGAAATGTGAATGAACAAATTAGGTTATCCCTCTT